TATATATATACATAGCTTTATTTTATGTCTTTTATCATTTTCCATATATTAATTATCTAAGAAGTTGCTGTGCCAAGTTGCATGAAGTACCCTGTATAAATGTATTTTATCAAATGGAATAGTATATTTGGACATCTAAAGAACAAAATATCATGTTTTACGAATGAAAATATTTGTTCTTCAATTATTCGAATATTATATAAAAATATTTAATGGATTATTTGCTTAATGTTTTTTTTCATTAAAATTTGAACCTAACTTATTGAAACGTGTATGAATCTAACCTATTATAGTATTTAAAATTATCTTGCATGCTTGTCAATATAATGTTGTTGCGAACATATAAATGGGAAATGAACTGTCGGTTTAAACAATTTGCTCGCAATTTTGGCATTATAAAGGTAAATTCAGTATTTTGAAATTAATTTTAAAAATTTTATGATCACAATTTTTTAACCATATTATTTCATTTTAATCGAATAATCTAACCAAAATTTTTGTTTAAAGTTCCAGCCACTTTTTGAATTTGAACATACTGTTCGTAAATTGCCAGTAACACAGTTTGTTAGATGCAAATCTGGCACTCCTATGAATACCATCATATTATTTGTTCCACAGCAAGAGGTTTGTAAAATAGATTAAAATCTAATCTATTTCAATAATAATAAAATTTATTTTTAGGCATGGATTGTTGAAAGAATGGGAAAGTTTCATAGAATTTTAAATCCAGGATTAAATATTCTTACACCAATAATTGATAAAATTAAATATGTTCAGTGTCTCAAAGAAATAGCTATAGAAATACCTCAACAAAGTGCTGTTACATCAGGTATATATTTTTATATTTTATTAACATATCAATTATATTTAAAAAGTATAAATACAAATTTAATATAAATAGTAGTATAAATAATAAATATAAATACAAATTAAAGTATAATATTGATCATATATTTTCAAACAGATAACGTAACATTAAATATTGATGGTATATTATACTTAAGAGTAGTTAATCCATTTTTGGCTTCGTATGGTGTTGATGATCCTGAATTTGCTGTAGTTCAGTTAGCTCAAACCACAATGAGATCTGAATTAGGAAAAATATCTTTAGATAAAGTTTTCAGAGAAAGAGAGGGACTTAATGTTTGTATTGTTGATAGTATAAATAAAGCAAGTGAAGCTTGGGGTATAACATGTCTTCGATATGAAATACGTAAGATTAAAAAAATTAAGAGTAAAATTAAAATTAAAATTAAAAAAACCTACTATTCAAAAAATTCTAATGATCCAATTTTTTGTAATAGGAGACATAAGGTTGCCACAAAGAGTGCAAGAAGCTATGCAAATGCAGGTAGAAGCGGAACGTAAAAAGAGAGCTGCAGTTTTAGAATCGGAAGGAGCTAGAGAAGCAGAGATAAATATCGCTGAAGGAAAACGTTTAGCACAAATTTTGGCATCAGGTAATTATATTTTTTAATCTGTTTTAAATTGTTAAATGATTTATATGATTTTATTATATATAGAGGCTGCAAAACAAGAAGAAATAAATAAGGCAACTGGTACTGCAACTGCTTTAGTAGCTATTGCTGAAGCACGTGCAAAGAGTTTAAAACTTGTTGCAGGTGCTCTCAATTTAACCGATGCAAAAAATGCAGCAGCATATAGTATAGCAGAACAATATGTTAAAGCATTTAATAAATTAGCAAAAGTTAATAATACTTTAATTTTGCCCAGTAATGTCTCCGATGTATCTGCCTTGGTAACACAAGTATGTTAAAAGATTTAATTATATTACTTATATTAATTATATTATTTTATAGATTATTTAATTAAACGCAATTATTTTACATTTTTAGGCAATGACAATTTACAAACAAGTTATGTCTCAACCTACATTAGATAGTCCTGATATAAAAGAAAATAAAGATCTTCTTAATGATGATGAGTCAGATGAGTCTTTTGAGTATTTCAGTGATAAAGAAGAAGCAGAAAAACATAGAAGGAGCAAAAGAAAGCGAAATCCTAAAGCATTGTAAAATATTTATAAATAATATAAATATATTTTGACTTTTATTATCTATCTCATATTATCCCATTCTTAAGAAAATAAAAGTAAATAAGTAATTAAAAATTAATTATATATTATATGTATTACAAGACAAAACAATTTTACATAAAATTTAAAATAGCTTTAGGAATAATTCAACATTTTTGAAGTATTATAAAACAAATCATAGATTTTCACAATTATTTTTATTTCCTCTTCTTTATATGAATTGATATTGGAGGTACTGGTAAAGCATATGTTTCTTGGGAAATTCTATTAATGTAATATAATGCAATCATAGAAAATATAAAACATGTTGTAGTTGCTACACGATGCACCAAAGCTGATGCAATTAAACTAATCATTAATGAAAAAATAACTGTAAAAAAAAATATCATTGTTACATTATTCAAAATTAATTTCATAATGTCAATATTAAATAATATACCTTCTGGAAATAATTTTTGTTGAAAAGATTTTCCAAATATTGTTGATTCCAAATTTCCTATTGCAGTTAACACACACATAAATAATATCGATCCAATATATCCTCCTAATATTGTATAAATTTGTGATGATGCTAACCAAACTTTATATATTTGCATTCCCGAAAATATAAGAACTGTCAAAATTGATGACAATACAAGAGATACTCCACTACTAACAGCTGAAAAATTAAATGGGAAATATCAATTTTTTTTTATTCAATTAATTCAAATTTATAAACAAATTTAAATGAAAAAAATTGATGATTATAATGTTAGCTAACCAGAAAATCTAACATATTATTTCTTTTTCTATCTTTTAATAACTATTAAATATTTAAATACTTTGAGTTTTTAAAACAATAATTTTTTAATTATACATACGCATTTTTAAGATAAATTTTTTTTACTAGAATCGGCTTAAATCAATTCGCGAACCTTAATTCTTTTTACATTATGTGTTATGTCATAATGTATTCGTACCAACATTAACTGCAAAAATTTTTTAAGTTTAATCAATAATATTAAGAAAACTACACATATATAAAGTTCATAGCTGTATGTAAATTTTTATAATTTTTTTTATTTAAATGTAGTAATTTATTATTATTAATTTTAAATATATCTAGTTATATTTTATTTGTGTATAGAAATATAAAAATCTATTTCACATTTAAATTAATTAGTAATTTTTAAATTAATGAAAATATTAGTAAATAAAAAGATATTGATTCAAAACATATAAAAATAGAATATTAATAAAAAAATATAAGATAAATTATTGTCTATAATCATTGATACGATATAAATTAGATGTATTACTTTGTAACGAATATGCGTGCGCAGAGATTGAACCGTTATTATCGATTTTGAACTTATTATGGAAACTATCTTTTCGATCGATATTCTAAATAAGAGTGTATATTTTTCTTATATTTTTTTTTTAATATTCCTTAAGATTATAAAAATTATGAAATAATTATTTAATAAATTATTTCGCTTTAAATATAATTTTTATTGAAGTAATATCAAAACATATAATATTAAAAATAATAATATAGTTAGAAATAAGTCATTTATAGCTTTTGATAAAATCATCAGTTTAAAATTAAAAAGATTTTTTCGGAAAATTTGTACTATTATAACAAAACTTGATTTGATTAAAGTGGTATGACGTCAAGGATAGTAGGCCGTGTTTGCGGATAGCGAGTAGGATTGGCTGTCAGGAATGATCGGTCCGGCGAAGCAGTAGGAGGTTCGAGGCGCCATTTTGGCAGGTTGTGAGAGCCTTCTGTCGCCGTGAGCCGAGCTGTCGTTCGCCCAGCTGAGCCCTTTACGCGCGCGCGAGAGAGCTCTTTCGGCTGGATCGAATCGGGAAGGCAAAATTAGACCGGCGCTCACAAAATTAAAAAAATTCGGAAAGAACTGACGGAAAACAGTTCTGCGTATTGTAATTTTTCTTTTCCTGTCGGTGTTCTTGGTTTCGAGGTACGTTTCGTTAATTCTCGTGGGTGGTGTGCATTTGCTAATACTATTTTCGAAACTGAAGAACAATTTCTAATTGTGATAGTATAACGGAAGAATCAGATTGAAAAGTACGTAAGCTTCAAAAAGTTCCAGTGTGACAGAAGTAACGACACTATGGCGGGACAGACAATCAACGATAGACTATTGGCAGCGAGACATAGCATCGCCGGCCAGGGTCTTGCTAAAGCTGTATGCAAAGCTACTACAGAAGAGATGATAGGTCCGAAAAAGAAACATCTCGAATGTAAGTCCATCATCTTTTCTTTTATTCATTTGTCTATTCCGATCATTTTAATTATTTTGTATTTTTTCCGGTATCTTGATTAATTTCTTCTTCAATAAAAAAAAATGAAAGAAAGGATAAATTCTTAAAATTAATGTCTGAAATTATTAATCTTTATATAGTATATCATTGAGATGTAGTTAAGTATTATTATAAATCGTTATAGATCCCAGAAAATGAATCACATTGCAACAGAAATAATTTTTCTCGAAATTAAACAATTTTTTAAAATATATGAAAAATTAATCATGTTTAATATACAAAAACGAAGAACAGTCTTTTGTATATATTTATGTCCGTTATAGTTTAACGGATTATTTTCAATTTCCAGGCGTTGCGTGAAGGAAAGTAATTCGCTTGACAAAGATACAATTCATATTCATATAATTTAATATCTACAAAAAATTGAAGATTGAAAAATTGATTAGTTCGTTAAAAAGAATGAAAAATAAAGAATATCATAAATCATTGAATATTGATTAATTTCATGTCATTTTGTTTTATAATTCAAAAATTCGGCATGTATCATCAGAAATTTTCAATAACTGTCAAGATCGATGTAAAATCGCGATCACATTTTTCTCGATTATTATATTGATAGTGATCATTATCTTTTACTAAAAAAATAAATAATTTGATTCCATAAGCTTTTTTTGTTAAAATGTAAGTATATTACACACAGTTAATGATATTGATTGTACAACTCATTATTGTTGCATTACATATGTATTGTTCATTACAATCATATTATATTAATATGGATAATTATACAAATTTATATTGAGATAAATTAAAAAAACTTAAACACTCGCGTTGGTAAAAATATTAATTTGTTAAATTTTTTAAATTGATAATTGTTTAAAATTGTGTTCTAATATCGTTATCAGTAAACATATGTATAAGTAATTGCAAAATATTCGAATTCAACTGAGATTTCTAATTGAGTAATGGTGAAAGTTTTTGAATTGTTGATCCTTACTTATAACAGATATTTTATGCAAAAGTAGTTTATTTTTTGTAGTAGCTGTTACGATATTATTGGTTTATGAATATTGCCATAAAGTTGAAGATTGTTAGTGACATAATTTTCCTTGAATTAGTAAAGCTATCTTATATTTGAATGTCAATAAATCGTATTGATAAACACATTTCTCTATATCCATTAGTATATTTATTGTTATCAGTATACCAATACAAAATATTATATTATACTAATACAAAATATTATTCAAATTTCAGACGTTTTTCTTTTATTTTTTTTTTTTTGACAAATTGTCTAAATTTCTATCAACTATTGATTTTGAATAAACAGAATATATTTTAATTTAAATTACTTATAAAATTATTATTGAAGACTATAAATAACTAGGAAAATAATTCGAACAATATTCAAATATTAAAAAACAAAAGTGGATTTCTAGCAACTATTATCATTGGTTATTCATCATTTTGATCGTTAATTGAAATTTAATAATTATTAATAACACAAAAATTTATTATCGACAGAAAAACAAAGTTATTTTATATTTGAATGGTAGGAAACCACATGAGTTCCTCGTGATTATCTATTCTTCTGTCGCATGAGTTGCATCAAGGTTTATAAGTATAGATATATCTATATGTGTAAGTACTTATATCTATTTCAATTTAAAAATCTACTTTCAAAATATAGTATTAGGATTTTTCATTTTTCACTGTTGTCGAATTATTTTTAAATTTAATTTAATTTATATATTCAAAAAAATTATCTTAAATTTAAAAAATGTTATTCATCATTTCAATATTTCATTTTACAATTCTATAAAAATTTCATGTCATTATCATTTTTTAAATGTAATTTATACGTAAATATTGATTTTGTTTTTATTTATATTGGTTTTAGTTTTATATTGATATTTTACAAAATATTGATACAAATCATTAAAAATTTATCTTATATAATAAAATTATAATTTAAAATTTAAAATAAGCAGAAAATTTTTTGTTCATTTAAAAATTTTGATATATGCATTTATATTTACTAATTCATTTATTTAGATACATGCATGCATACAATATATATTATTTTCGATTTAAATGATTAATTTTAATATAAATGTTGAAACATTCCTAAATTAAAAATTAATTTAATATAATTTAAATGAATATTTTATTATATATATTATATTATATTATATTATATTAATAATTTTATAAGTAATATTATATTATATATTTAATGAATTTTTACATTTTTGTATAAAAATTATGATATATTACAAAATTAATGATTACATTGTTTCATTCACATTGTAATATTTATTTCAATCATCCCTTAGTGAATGACAATATTAACAGTCATATTTCGTTAGAAGCAAGAACGCGTTTCCGTTTTAACAGGACGGAACTTGCACTCTTTCTTCCGGTCTGCTAATTTAGATAGTGAAACAAATTTCTGTCGATGAAATCTTCATTAGGTTTAATCTCATTCCTTTCTCTACAATCTTTATTATCACTCTTAACAAAAAGCAATAAAAAACAATTTTTTTTTCATATTTCATAATTTAATGGAATGATTATATAATTTTCACTTGAGAATCTTGCATTAATAATGAAAAATTTGGTTTTGTTTATCTAAATTTATTATTTTTATCTTTATGGATACAAATGGAAGATAGAAATCATCACAATTTTTTATTTTTACAAGTATAATATTTATAATATTATATAAATTATTAATGAAATGATTTCTATAAATATTTTTTCATCGTATTTAAATTTCATAAATATTTTATACTATTTTGTAAATATGATATTTAATATCACATTGTACAAATCATGATATAACATTTAATATCTTTCTTTTTAGAAAAAAATCGTTTAAGTCTTCGATAATCGATTTTTCTTAAATGGAAGTTCAATTGATTACAATTATTGAATCATATTTGTATTCTTGTTTTATAAATATAATTATTTTTGAAAGAATATTTAATATAATTTTTTGTTTTTTAATACAATTTTAATAATTAAAAGATTAAATATTTAATTTATTTTTTAATTAATTAATATTTTATAATTTTTTGAATTAACTATATATCTTTTAAAAAAATATTTTATATCTAGAAGAACAAAATTGAACTATTTAAGATTAATAAAGTTATAAATGACGCATGAAGATCAGAAAGAATCGATCGATTGCAAAACCTAAATGTTATATATACATATTCGATTAGATGGGTACTTCGCACATGCCCACTAGCATTGCATCCTAGGGAGCTTTCGTCCGAGATTCCGTTTATCGATCGGTCGTACACTTGATTCCTAGCCGATGACCTCGCGATGGTTCTGATTACTATCTATTCGGAGACCACGAATGATCACTTCTAGTGCTAAAAATAGTGTCATTTACCATGAATTTCTCGATGAAATTCTTTATCAAAAGATATTATTGAATGGGATACAGTTATGATTTTTGTTTTATTGATATATTAATTAGTAATTAGTAAAATATCGATTATATTATCAATTTTTAATTCATAATCAAGATGATATTTCTTAATTGTTTAAATTTCAATATTTTTGTTAAAGTTTTTTTTTTAAATTTAATGTATTAACAATATAATTAATTTTATTTTTATTAAATTTTGATAATTTTTCATTGTTATTAATTTATGTAATTTTATAATTTAATATGTAAAATTAAAAACATTTATGATAATTTTTATTTTATAAAATACGTTGAATTATTTAATTACAAATAGTTGTAATTATACTATGAATTGCCTCGGAAAATTTGCTATCGATATTTCCTGTATTTCTTCACATAATTTTTTTTTTTTAGATAACAATTATTGTCCTTCCATATTGGATTGCTAAATTTAGTAATTGAATTGTACGATTATCAATATTTTTTATATAATCTCTAAATATCATAACTACTTCGAAATATCTAATCATAGAAAGATCATCTTGGTTAAAGTCACTTTTATCAAAAATAGTGTACAATTAAAATTGTTAATCCAATTTTATTATAGAATTAATTTTTGATTTTCTTGGAAACGATTATATTATTTTTTTCTAATTATATCGACTGAAATGATAAAAAAGCAAATTTTAATGAATAATTATGAAGAATATTTCTTAATAGATGATTTAAACCAGATTTAAACATTGAATCAAAATTTTTTCTATTGAGATATAAATTAAAAAATAGATTGCTTCACATTTATATTTAAAAAAATATTATCGGCAATAAAAAATTTGTTAAGAGTCAACAGAAAAGTTTAAAAATGGAATTTGAGGACATATAATGATGCAAGAACGAGGTAAACCAGATATTTATGTTTTGCAATATAAAAGTTTTTTCTTTTTGATAATTCGCATTTGTTACAGATATCGTCTTACCAAAACACATTATCGGTGACGCCCCCATTTGAATCTGGATTCGGAGAAACATTTCAATGCGCACACCCCTTGCAAGTTTCAGATAATTCCGATAATGATTGCATTCTTTACTACATTTAATATCTGTCGTTATTGGCAACAACTAATTAGATTCATCAGGTTTCTTTATTTTTTATGGTTATAAACATGTTAATCCATGTCATGGTTGTTTATTTATAATATCAGTTTGAAAACAAGAAGCGTAATGAAGTTCTTTTATCGATTTTTATTCGAGGTTATGTTTATTTAATAAACTTTAATAATTTTTTTCTACGGAATTAAAAGATAATTATATATATAATTATATTGTTAAACTTATATATAACTTATATATATATAATTTTATACAATATACAATATACAATATAAAATTTATGAAATTTATTATCATGTGAAAGAATATTCGAAATAAATAAATTTAGAATAGATATTTATAAAAAAGTGAAAAAAATATTACTTATTATGAAAAAGTTTATTAAAAGGAAGACGAGTGTAAAGTACATAGAAAAAAAATATTTTATAAAATGAGTTTAGCGAAAAATTTCGTTATTTTTACTCAATAAAATATATTGAAAAAGAACGAAATTTTTTATTTCTTATATATACTTATTAATTAATCCATAA